TTTTCATCCCAATTTGTTAAACCGCTGAAATGTAGCCTGTGCACAACACGGACCTTCCTACCTCGGGTTGAAAGATGCGATCGCAATTTGAAGCATTTCTGGCTAGTTGACTTGTGTGAGTATGTTGTTACATATATAGTTGAAACAAACACGCAAAACAAAGTCATTAAAACGATTGCTTTTAATTATTTGCGATTACATGCTGCCCGGACTGTGTCGAGTTTCAGTCTGGGTCAAACCGGGCTGGTATTTCAGATCGTAAAATAAATCTATTTTTACAAAGGAAAACTTGTCAATGAATTAGCAAACATAGTTGTGAAAACTATTATATTTTCTATAGACTATTTCAAATTTATTCATTAAATAGCACATCGCATTTAAAAAAAAATCTACCACCATCCGCAACCCGCATTTTCTACCAAACCTTCACAGTCCGGGATGAAGCTTAAAATATTAATTGTTGATAGTTGTCAACTGTCAAAACTTACAGTGGCTCAGGTTTCATTCGGTGTCGGGATTTTTGGATGTGAGAACGTGGTTGTTAGCGCGTTTTTAGCCAAAGTGGGAACGCGTTTCCAAGTTTCCTCTGGAACGCGTTTCAACCACGTTCCAACCGCGTTCTGACAGCGTTTCGACGGCGTTCCGAACGCGTTCGGAAAGCGAGCGCAGTGTTATTTCTGAGCAGTACTGTACCTACTCCAAGTAGAGTGCACGACCGAAATTCAGGTGTGAAAATAACAAATGTTTTGTTATTGCAGTACATTGAAGAGTGCTCAACACAAAAATTTGTAGCACAAAATTATTAATCTTAAAAATAGTTTATGCTGCTACTCAGAGTTTCATGCAATTTTGCAATCTTCAAGCAACGTTACTGTTTTTCATTAGTTCAGTTCGGTTTGTTGACGCTACTCACCACAGGCGGCCCAATCTCGCAAGGGTCAGTGTAGACTTTATATAGTACAAATGTATATTATAGTAATGTATATATTACAGTAAAAATATGTCATAAAATATAAATTTTAAAATGAAATTGACTTGCCTATTTGATAGCGTGTGCGTTCTCCTTTTATTCCTCCTTTGTTGGACTAATATTTTCAGAGACTTTGTACTCGATGTTACTAGTATACATGATACATGGATAAAGGCAAACTATTTCCGATCGTCTATACGACACTCAAATCGCTTTATTCTCCAAAAAATTCGCCAGCACACTGTAAATTAAAAAGGGCCAAATCGACCACAAATTCCGTTTCAGCCCTTTTGGGGCCAAAGCTGTTTTGGCCCTATGTGAAAGCCATTTTGGCATTGGAGAGCTGGATCTGCACCGACGGAGCCATTTTAGGTATGGAGGAAAGCCAAATTGGCCCTACCCTTTGCCGTAACGGACCCATCATTTTCCAATTTAGCCCCATCAATTGCCAATATGGCCCAACAGACCAAAACGACTCTCACAACCGGGTTTGTTTTGGCCCCACATAAAGGGGCCGCTTTTGATCAACACATTGGCCCCTATGAGCTTCGTTTCGGCTCTCCATCGCGGAACGACTCTCGCATAGGTCAAATCGACCCTGGAATGAAATCGACCCTTTTGTCGAAACGACCCTTCTGTCAAATCGACTCTTAATTGTGTCAAATCGACCCTTCTGTCAAATCGACTCTTAAATGTGTCAAATCGACCCTTCTGTCAAATCGACTCTTAATTGTGTCAAATTGACCCGTTTTGTCAAATCGACTCTTAAATGTGTCAAATCAACCCTTCTGTCAAATCGACTCATAAATGTGTCAATTCGACTCTTCTGTCAAATCGACTCTTAATTGTGTCAAATCGACTATTAATATTGTGTCAAATCGACCCGTCGTATGATCGTATCAAATTAACTTCCGCATAAAACTTAAAGAATGGACATGCTCGCAGTCGCAAAGAAAAAGAAGAGGACGTTTTTTGGATTATACAAGGTGAGATTTGATGTTTCATTTTGTAGGGTATTGAAATTTGTTTTCCAGATTTTTAGTAATTTTATCGTAAATATAAATACGGTATTTGTAAAAATTAATCACGAGAATTGAAGGCCTAGGTGTAATATTAATGATCGCGGGAACTGGGAACGAGAATGCACGCGCCCGTAAGCAATCGGGTTTGCGATCATTCTCGAGCATGCGTACTAACTTTTGGCGCCATTATCGAACGTTGGCTTGGCCGTTGGGATTTGCTTCGACGACGGATACGGATAAAATACAAGCGTAAAACCTCGTTCAGTCGTTCGTTGCAGTATATTTTGGACAAATAAGCAATTTATTAGGAAAATACGTTCAAGAAACGTCTCGTGCTGTACTAGCCTAATTCTGCCAAATGTTATTTACTTTCTTCACCTTCGTGTCGACGACTGTTGTTTGCTGATGGCCAAATCACGACAGCGGACATCAAATATTCAAAATATGTTCTTATAGCTTCACGTTTACGATACGAAACACGTTTTAATGTATTTTTTGTGTATGTAGGTTCTAGTTGAAAGTCACAGCGACAATGAAAAAAGTGCAAACAACATTGAAATATCCAGTTCACTACTAGCTCAAATCCTGCGACATATCACTTGCTAGTAGCCCAGTCTAGTTTAACTTTTCCCAATCAAGAATCATCTCCTGAATCAGGTATACTGGCAACACTGGTTCATTTGATAATGTAAGTTTTTAAACTGGTATTTTAGATTATAGCCTCGGTCCAATGAGGATGAAAGTCATGCATGAATTGCTTCTAAATACACAAAGGACATTTCAAGTTCCACATGAACAAAATATTATTAAAGCTTTGATGAGTGTTCCAACTATGTTTCAACTTAATTAAAATTCTCTCATCCTCGTTTGATCCATAATTATTTGTTGATTTTACTCGATACTAAATAGTGAAACATCGAATCCAGATAAAATCTTATGCAGAACCCACTGTAATTCCGAACTGTAATCACATAATTATATAAAAGTCGTTTCAGTAGCAGCAAAAGCCAAACTAAACACCAACTAGGATTAATAGGTTTAGCTTTTAGGCCGAAAATAATACACGATTGACAATTTTGTGGCTGATTGATTAATTAATTAATAGTATACTGTATATTGATGTTGTTGTTGTATACAGGACATCTGACTTACATGTCAAATTAATAGTCGAATCTATGATTATATTGAGCATGGCAGATTTGACATTTGAAACATTGTTGATGTTAATAACCCAATGAGTCGCATTGCGCCCTGATGCGCACTAAGTATTTATTATTTTACTCTGGTTATCTAACGCTAGGCAATTTTACTCATCAAAGGGAGAGCACTGGCGGTTAATGTGTTAACTAGCCTATCTGCCCATGTTTACAGTTAACCCATTGAATCGCATTGTTCCCTAATGCGGGCTAATTTATTATTTTACTCTGCCTATCGCAGGACAATTTTACTCATTAAGGGCAGAGCGCTGGCGCTTAATGTGTTAACTGGCCTATCTGCCCATGTGTCTAGTTAACCCATTGAGTCGCATTGCGCCCTAATTTATTATTTTATTCTTTCTAACGCCAGACAATTTCATTAATTAAGGGGAGAGCACCGGTACTTAATGGGTTAACTGTCCTATTTGCCCATGTTTATAGTTAACCCATTGAGTCGCATTGCGGCCTACTTTATTTATTTTACTCTGTCTCGAGAGGAGAACGCTGGTGCTTAATGGGGTTAATATTGAAAATATAGATCAACATTTGTCAAAACTCATGACTTGTGCAATCATTTCTGTAATAATTAAGATATTAAAATACCAAATATAATGCCTTATGGCTTATTTCAAATAGGGAGATGCTATGTGACTAAGTCCGTTGAAACTTAGCGGATTTGTTGTAGCTACATCAAATAAATGCTAGCCAAAAACATATTCAAGTCAATCGAAGAGAATGTAGAATTGTACTTTAATACATAAAATTCCCTAGTTATTGTACATTAATGAAAAAGCATTTGAAATAGAAATATATTGTTTTAATTTTATTTCTATGGTTTGTACTATGATATACATGGGCTATACACTCTTTGGGAACCCGCAGGGCTGTTGGCAGAGCATTTCCATGATCTGGAACTTCAGTCCTAACACGATGTGCGGGTGCGAAATGTTGTGTAGGAACAGAACTGTACAGATTAGAAATATGATTACTGATATTTTCCAAAGAAAAACTATTAATATATAGAAGAGGAAAGAAAGAGGCAATTTGAAATTTAAAAATGGTAGGCTTATTAAGGATGAGATACAGAGAAAAACAGTAATGCAGAACTACATTCTCTTAAATTGTCAAAATTAAACGCTACCAATCTTGGTCTCGTTTCAAACTTGAATAACAAAAAGTCTAAAAATACAAATACTATAAGAACAGATCAGCTAGGTCCAGTTATAAAATTAAATGATGAAGGAAAGCTATCATTTTAGGAAAGTGTTGTTTTGGGGTGTGTAAACTCATGAGGATACATGTTTCTGGTGAATCTGTGCTTGCTGCAGCAAAAAATTATTAATCGTTTGTGATATAATTCACCAGATGTCTATTTTAACCTGTGGGTTGTGGAATTTGTTTTGTCTGACCAAGATATAATGAATACCACTAGTGACATGAGCATGTCCAATTAATATTTAACTAGAAATAAATGCATGCAGCAACCCCTTGCCTATATTTTCCAAACATTGATTTAACATAAACTACTAGCAATTGGCCAGCACTGAACGCAGGCTCACGTTGTGTCAAGGCAACATAATGTCACATATTTTAAATTTTTTTGAGTAATTTTGCAAGTGTTCATACCACAGAATCTACCATACATAATTTTAAACAAATAGATAGGTGAAGTAATTCAAACAAAATGAGTTTGAACTTTATTACTCTACTCTGTCGAACGCCTATTCTACTCGTAAAGGGGAGAGCCCTTGTGCTTAATGGGTTAAATAAGATCGTATAGTTATATGTATATCACGTATTATGTTTTTATGCAGTCTCCCTGAATCACTTGTACCAGCCTATGGAAATTCATGTTTCCAATTTTGTATTTATTTTTCTTATGATGCAGTATACTGTAAATTTGAATAATATTTGTGTGCTTATAGTGAGCTTATTTTTAGGAGAGTTTGTTGCGAGGCAGCATATATTTTGATTTTTCAAAATATTACTGTATATTGGTATGTTATACTTAATATTAGAATGTTAGGGTTTGGAATCCAAGTGAGAATATATACATTTTAAGACCTAACCAGGAACGACTGCGAAAAATGCAGCACAAGGTCCTCTGGTAGGAATCAAACCTACGGCCCTGCGATTCCGGTGCAGCGCTCTAACCAACTGAGCTACAGAGGCCAGCCGTTAAGCTGTAACCGTAAGTTCATGTATATATAGTAATCAGGTGTGCGGGTTGTGATAAGGTGGACTTCATGACTTAGATTCTGCACTTCACTTGGTGGAATTAATATTAGAATGAATCCAAGTGAGAATATATACATTTTAAGACCTAACCAGGAACAACTGCAAAAAATGCAGCACAAGGTCCTCTGGTAGGAATCGAACCTACGGCCCTGCGATTCCGGTGCAGCGCTCTGAGCTACAGAGGCCAGCTGTTAAGCTGTAACCGTAAGTTCATGTATATATAGGTAATCGGGTGTGCGAGTTGTGATAAGGTGGACTTCATCATGATTCTAATATTAATTCCACCAAGTGAAGTGCAGACTCTAAGTCATGTTATACTTAATGCTTTTGGAAGAGTTATAGGGGTCGGGTGTGATATACTTTTTCAGGTATTTTGTGTCTGATGTATGTAAGAGCTTTATTATTGGGTTTCTTGGTGAGACCTTATATCTTATGTGTCCTATAACCCCCTGTAATTGCGGATTATTGCATACATTCTAATTGTTTTTTTTTTGTAGGAGTCTGAAGATGCAAATGATACAATTTCAAACTTATCACAACCCATATTGTGGTCGTTGGCATCGAACTTACTAGAATACGACTAGAAACTGTCAATCATACGTTATCGAGGGAAAGGATGAAAGTTCCATAACAAGCAACAGTTGTTTTGATGCAATTATCGCCTTATTGGCAAGTTTTTACATCTTCAATATTGAGTACTGCCACACGAAGAGCATCTTGTCTGCTTTGCAGACTATAGTAGTGCATGGGCAAGACAGAAAATGGCATATACAGCTGCCAGTGAGGGTCACAGCCCTCTTCAATGACTTGTCATGACTCATGAGTATTAGTACTACAGTAATTTTACACTTTTTGAGAGTTATGTTGACATATGCTAACCCAAGTTAATGTTATTGATGGAATGTGTGTATTGTCTCACATCTCACCGAACTGTGGTAATGTATTAGAAATTATTCGTATTGCGTTCATGTTAACAACCGCGCCTGCTATTGCTATCACAAGTTGATTGCTCTTTAAAATTAGAATTGTAAACTTTCAGAGCCATATGGCATCTATGTACGAATCTTTTGATGGTTCCCACATTTCGGTGAGATCCATAATACTGACTACTGTCCATGTATATTGTAATTTTAGTTATAGTATTGTGTTTATAATACAGAAATTGGAACATTTATCTCAACTTATATTGCAATAATTCATTCCAATCTTGGTCTGTTGGAGAAATTGTAATAATTTAATCAAGACCAAATAAACCCCAATATTTTGCCTGATTCATTATATACATGTAGAATACGTCTACATGCAAGAGTGCAACCAAATCCACATGACTTTAAATGCTATATAAAACGGCACCACCAAAAAGCTATATCAGCTCAATCGGTTCTAAAGCACCTCTTCATTGGGGCTGAGACTGCTCTCCTCTGAAAGGGCCAAAACAGCCCCGGTTAACAAAGTAGGGGTTAAATTGGCTTTTCTTTTGGATCTATAATGGCTCAGAAATAGAACCATATTGGCCCTTTGGGTGCTAAAAAACTACACCATTAGAAAAGCTATATCGGCTCCTTCGGTTCTAAAGCAGCTCTTCATTGGGGCTGAAACTACTCTGTAACTCAGTAGCCAAAACAGCTCCGGTTAGCGAGCCAAATCAACGCTTTTTGGGGTTCATTATGACCACAAATGGGAGCCAAATTAACTCCTCGAAATGCCAAAATAGCCCCCTAATTTTCTGAATTGGCCCCTATTGAAAGTTGAAATAGCTCCTGCTTTTGCCAAAACAGCTCCTACTAAAAGCTGAAACAGCCCTTACACTGGAAGGGCCAAATCACCCCTAGGGGCCGCATTGTTATAGGTGCCATTTTGACCCCCAAAAAAGATCTATTTTGCGGTCACCGTTTTGGCCCCATTTTTGGGGTCGTTTCAGCCCTTTTTAATTT